GCACTTTGTCTCGGGGATTATTCGACGATATTCACCTCGCCTTCGGCGAATAATTGTTAAATGTCAAGATGGCTTGACATTGTGACAACGACTGCAGATCTTCTATAATTGGTGTGAATATACGTACTATTGAGTTTTTGGCGACTTGTCCGCCCATGTCTAGACAAGTGAAGTTCTTTGCATCAGACTTCTTTTAATCCAACTAAAATGAATGGGTCCTGGATACACGCACTGATTTTTGAGAATCTTAAAGAATTTTTTTTAAACTAGCATTGTAGGGGGGGGAGGGGTAACAAAATCGACCCATACCAAAATAAAATCTCTGGCTAATATTCAACGAGTCCAATTTGTCTCTTGCACCTTTCACCTGCTCAAACTGGTGGCTTATTCCTGTTTGTCAGTGCACTCAACAACTGATCCCAAACAAACAATTTAATTCTGGTTCATCAAGTAGAGCGCTAAAACCACGTTTACGCCAGAAATTCCCTAGATACTAGCACGCACCTAACGGCGAAATAAGCACAGCAAGATTCTTTCTATAATCCTTGGGTCTGCCATTGATTTCTAACCCGATCAAATCGGTAACGAATTCATTCAACCTACTTTTCACTTTGATAATCGGTGATCCAGAAGCCAAGAGGCACGAAGCAAGAATTACAACCGCATGAAATACCTTCATCTTCAGGGAGACATAAATCGAAGTGTCAAATGAGGTGGAATAAATCAGGTATCAAAATAACAATACGGGGATACGAGTCAAATTACGGCGATAAGGCCCGTGATTCTTGAGAAAAAAAATAACGAGAGCTGATTGGCTGGTTATACAGGTTATCATATAGTATAAGAGCATTTACCAGTTGTTTTCTTTCCTGTTTAGTTCTGATGTTTACAAACTGTTCACACGAAGAGGTGTGAAATTCTATTGATAGACTGCAATACAAGTTATCGAATTGAGCCAGATATGGGCTGTTGGACATTTGGCATAATTCACGTACGTATCAATATTGCGCGTGCGCTGCAAATTAAAATTTCTCTTCCAAGGTTACGCATCGAAAACTGCTTGTTTATATTACTGAAAATTTTGTTTTCCTCTTACGACAGTAGGTCGTCATTTCTTCACTTATTTCACTGACTCAGTCGAAAAAATCATATAGTTTATTTTTATTTTCTTGTGGTAGACTTTTGCTTCTAGAGCATAAGTGCTCTGCAGACGTGAGGATGTAAGCGTTTTTGCATGTTTGTCTTCCGTATCTGGTGTGGAATTTCCGATTTCTTCGTTTCACATACAACACTATCTCTCTAATTTAATGCTTCATTAACTCGTTGATGGCAACACTTTATTTGAGAAGCGTAACAATCAACAGCGAGGAATGCACGAAAAATAAGGTTTTCATTTGGTTTCTTACTCTACTTGAAAATGTGTGTATCATTGAAGAGACAGTCTGTGGAATTTTCCTTTCTCTAAACATTTTGTGTTTAAATTGAACGCCTAATCTTCCAAAAATTCATTACACCTTTATTTTAAGAATTGATACTCAAAGGGAAGCACACGTAGTAGTTATTGTAGATAACACAATTGTTCGCCATGACATGGACTGAATGCATTAAGCACATTCTCGGGCCTGGAGCCCGTTTCTCAAAGGTTCCAGTAACTTAACGAGTCCTTAAAGCTGTTCTGATTTCATTCAAGGTGGGGGTCTCAGACATTTTAAAAGTTATATGATGAAACTAACAGCTAAAGAAACAAAATGGACTGGTTAGGGTGTCAGAGCCTGCTTCTCTATTGAATAACTGAATAAAATATAGCTTCGGGCCCGTTAAGTTACCGGGACCTTCGAGAAACGGGCCCGTGGTGACTTATCAATTGTTTTCGATAGTTTGAAGCGGCCAGAAGATTTTGGAACTGGAGCCTCCCCTAGATGAATGAATGGGATGGCAGTCCATACCATCATTGGCCGCGGAGCGTTAAAAATGTTGAGGGAGGGGGGGGAAGGGGGGCGCAGGTGCTAATTGTACAAAAAGCCGTGCGCATGCACCGCGTCAAATTTTCTTTACCCTTCACTCTAAAGATCTTATCAGTAATATTCCTAACTGTCTTCCATCCAGCTCATATAATATCAGTTTGGAGAATTTGGTAATGGAACAGCTAATAATACCCCATTTACATTTTTCTTTTTCATTACTTGGCTACTTCATATTGTATTGATACTGCAAGGAGAAATTCTGTCTTAGTCAATCATGGGAGTTAATGGTCAAAAACCCTTTGCACAGTCATTTCAGGCCTTAACCTTGGTTGTACAAAATATCAAAATTGCGATTGCTTCGTTCTAGACAGTATTTTCCTTTAGCGGTCAGTGCTATAACGTTTTTGAAAATACTGTCTTACAGATGCTACAACTCATGAGTCTTTTTAAATACAATACAGTACGACACTTTTAGAAACGTAACGTCCATAAGCTCCACACGCTCGTTCAAATTATGTACATATGCCTTGAATTACGTCTGGTATTTAGCAGAACATTTCGTGCGCATTCTCAGTGCAAGTATTTTTTAAGAAAAGTTGTTGAATTTTCCAAGGTAATGTTCGACTCTCTCGCTAACAGGTACCTGTAAGTAATCAAGAGTTTAACAAAACTTCATATTTGCATACAGCATCAGTGACTCTGCCTTAAATATTTAATCGCGTACCAGCGCAGAAATCTAACGCCGCTTTGTGCGTCTATCAGCTCAAAGCTGCACAAGTCTTTTTATTTAGGCTGGCAGCTTCTCCCCATCTGAAAATGAAAGGATCCGCTTCAATACTGCTGTTCGCAGCGATATTGTCCTTGTCAACATGTCTTCCTCTTAAGAAAACCGATACTGAACTGCTGAAACGAGGTAAAAAGCTCTCTGACGTACGTTCTGCATTGGTAACGTTAGTAGCTTCTTTCGGTTGTTATATCTGTGACTGGATAAGCTATTTTTAACTTATCATGTGTATGGTACTCCTCAAGGAAATCAAATCGTAAAGGGAAGGATAGCAACTTTTGTATTTTGCACCATTTATTTCGCCCGATGCAGTTAGCTCAAAGATTTTCAAATGTGTTTATTCGAAAACAATTTCTTATTTCTATGACGGCAACAATTCTTCACAAATACACAAATGTCTATCAATACTCTCTGATTATAGCTTGTGGCTAAATTTTGCTTACCTAACAACATTAAACGCTAGATCTGATTATTCTCAAGGAATTATTGACAAGCTCCATCACTGATATTTTGGGTGCGTCTTGTATCAACCACTAATGCAAATTTCTAGTGCCTATATAGAATAAATAACGTTTCAAAAAGCAGGTTTTGTCGTCAAAGTTATCTCAGTCAGTGATCTACGTACAAAGCTGCATGAAAAAAAACTTTTGTTTTTCTTTGATAGACTTCTTTTGTCATCAGTTGTTGCCGAAAATTACTTTTAACTGATATTTTATTCGGCATTGAGTTTGAATTAAGGTTGAGGGTCCTAAACATTAATTAAATTTCCATGATTACAAGTAAAATTGAATTCAACATTTATATAAAGATAACCATTTTCTAAGAAGAAGGAGAAAAATCCTCTCAAATTACTGCCCGTTGATCTATCATTTCTGCCTTTTTGGTAAACGATTCAGATCGACTTCTTTGGAAATGAAGAAAAAACCGGCCATGTTGCAAAATATTGACTAATCGTTTTATGAGCTCGAGAAACTACTTGGAAACAGGAATGGTACACATGGAGCAATCCCTTTCCTAGAGAGAGGACCCTCGGAACGAGGTTGTGCATGGAGCTCTATTTCCGAGTCTGGCGTTAGATATGGGTTGAGTATGTTGCTAGTTCCTGTCCAAGATTGCTCCGAGGCCTTTTCTCCACGTTTGCCTGGAAATGATGCACTAGACTACCAACCTCGTAGATGTCATTTGCTAAACTCACTTATTATTTACCTTGTATTTGTCGTTTTGGGGTCGCTAAAAAAATTTACTATCGGTTTGAAAATTTTCGAGTGCACCAACACTAAAGAGGCAAAAATAAACGAGGAGACCGGAATTTTTTAAAAATGGAGAGGATTAAGAAGTTTTACCGAAAGCTAAATTGAAAACTTTCAAGCAAAGCTTTTAAGATGTACAGACTGTGACACGGGAATCTATGCATGTCTTCTTTTGCAATTGAGATAAAAACATTGACGTTCGCACGTAGCCTTAACGTACAGTTACAATTTCTAGTTAAAAAGCCGCACTTCACCTTTTATCCACGATCGAATAACGTAACATCTCAATAGAGAAGACCCTTCCCCCAAAAAACACGTGTAGACTTGCTTAAACAAACACAAAGACTACAAAGGTATGGAAATCAGGTCCGTTATTCACTTAAACGACCCTTACATCGACTCCTATTGAAACATTTTACACAAGAAAATATGAACTTCCCCAAACTCGCAGACCTATTGCCTTAGTAACCATTTTAGCAATACCGAAGGGTCTCTTTGCTCTTCCATAACTGGCTCACAAGATCATGTTAGTCATTTTATTTTATATTTATATATTCTTCATATGCCTAGCATGTATTTTACACAGTTTTCCGCTTTCATAGTTTTCGTACGATGTTTATCACGTTTGTACTTAACATTAACTTTTATCTACGCACAATATTTTTTCTCGACTCTAATGAGGCCGTTGATCGGTGAAAGTTCGGATCTTTGAAAACTTTAATTTTGAAAAGCCGTCTACGTGAAACAGGAGATTACCTAAAGGGGCCTCTTCCGATCCGTTATTTTTCTTTACACGTGAAGAATATACACCCATGAAACAAAGCCATGACCATGCTCGCTTATTATAATTTGCGAAATTATGAATACGTTGATATAATGTTCTGTTTTCTAGTTAAGAGACAAGCCGTGGATGGTGCGAATGATGACAAGAACGAGACAGTCGTCGATCGACCTCCTGGACTGGGTGGTACAAATATTCGATTTCCGAGTAAGTCAAGTTATGCAGTTCAAAATTTGTCTCTTTGGGATTGCGGAGAAAAACATGCAATTCATCCCAGTCGGGTGTGTCACTGAAAAAAATATGATTGCTAAAAGAGATTCCATCCTTTGAAATAAACATTTGAGACATGCGTACTAGTAACCTTTGTTACTCACATCATCGAAATTTGGAAGCTATGAAACCTGTAAGAAACGGAAAGATTTACACGCAGCCCCATGCTATTATAAAACAAAGCTGTAGTCCCTAAGACAATCTATGGTTTTTGCCATTGCTTTCTTTATCCAAGAATTTTATGCACAATGAAATATGGGGCGGTGCGGAAATGATCTCAAGAAACCTCCACGACTTGAGTAACACACACAAAATAAAACTTTTTTTTTTTCGGAATTGCCTTGCTCTTTGTTCGATAGTGATTACGTTGAATACATCTCCTAACAATCTGAAAAGTTATCATGTTTATGATTTCTGAATGTCATTTTTGTTTAGTTTGCATATACCAACTGGGCATGTCCAATCGATTCCGCATTTGGGATTATCAAATCACAGCATCTTCTGCATACCCAAGCAGGCACCTGCAGCCCCACATGGGGAGGCTAAATAACCCGTGGGGGTCATGGTGCATCAAGAGAGGACATCCAGGACCTCACTACATGCAGATTTATCTCGGTAATTAATGGAATACAAAGCAGTCACTCTTCATTTAGAGATTGTAAAGTAATCAAATTTGTTAAACCCAAAATGCATTGATGTTAGTTCAGATGAGCTCATCACATCAAGGGTGTCAGGCATTTCTCAGCGTATGAAGTAAACGAGACTTCAAACAACAACATATATTGAAAGAAAGAAAACCGAGACGAAACGGGTTAACCCGATGCAGCTGTAAATCCACTTACTGTCGCCCCTCAAAAACAGCCAATGTCCTTCCCCCCCCCACGCCCCCTCCAAGATGGCCGTTGGAAAAAGCTTCAACTTTGAATAAAAAGACTCAGACTCACGCGGGACATATATTTTTAGCTGTATCCTGTCGTAATATCACTTAAGATCCATGAAAATCCATTATAGGCGGAATTATGTTGGTCAGTGGTGTCATAACTCAAGGAGCGCGCCACACACCCGATTGGGTTACTGAGTATCGTGTGAGCTACAGCCTTGATGGTCAGCGGTGGGATTATTATAAAGAGAATGGCACAGCAAAGGTAATCTTACTTCACGCTTAATTCGGCGGCATACTCTTATTTTTAGTAGCACGAAATGTTACCTATAATTTCAATTATCATTTATTGACTAAATATTACCTGTGGTTTATAAAGCCGGAGTTTTTGCATAATTAAAATATTGTGAAAGGGTCGCGGTATAATTGGCCAGTCAATACAACCCACTTTTTTACATTTTATACCTTGAACAGTCTCTTCGTGGCAATTATTAAATTGTAATCAGCTTATAAGGATTCATATTTTCGCAGAGTTTTACAAAGATCTTTTAATCCGCTCAGAGGCTCTTAAAGTTACATAGAGTTTTGAGTGAGAGATTTTGCTTTATATTCGTTGCAGGTCTTCCGCGGATTCTATTTTGCGTTTACTAATCATTTCAAGTACAGGGTGGCCGCTAGATTCATCCGGATTAATCCCCAATCTTCTCATGGATTGATACTGTGCATGCGTGCCGAGCTGATAGGTTGTTCATTCGGCCAAGGTAAGACAAGTTTAAGAGAAACCCTTAAAAAAATTATGCTTCAGGGCTTTTCCGATACCCGTTATTCATCAGGGTCCAAGTGTGACTTCACCTTCCAACCTCAGCCGCTGGCATTTTTAACATTAACGAAAGGATAAAGGACTATTTATCGACACATTCCTAGACTTTACCTCCTCAAGATAAAGGCGAAGTTTGGGTAAAGGTTTGCGACCGTTGTGTGCCTCTGTGGCGTGTTATCAGTGTCAGCAGTTTAGCTTACCGGTTTTATGTTGTGAATTTCTTGGTGACCTTAATCAAAACTTGCGTCAATTAACTTGTTTGAATATGTCTAAAACCTCTGTTTGCAAAACTCTCTTCTTTTGAGAGGTAATTTGATTAACAGACCTTGATATTTAATAATTTTTAGTTAATTTGGCAACAAATCGTACAGCTGAACAATCGAGCACTGAGGAAGGAGATGTAGCCTCAAAAGCAATCGATAGAAGGCTGGGAAATGGTAAGAATAGTATCACTATTATATAACCCTCAGAGAAACAAAATACGTTATGAAATTCAATCAACATTAAGTTTATCATAGTACGTCCGTTTAAAGTAAAAAAAATAAAAAATACAACTGCTTATAAATATCGATAGATCAATAGACACGTCAACTTCGAGTATCGCTCGAAGGCTCCACCAAAGTTGGGCCGCTGAGGACAAACTTTTTGAGCCCGCGGTGGTCATACGATTTTCGGTGGTTTGATACTATTGCGTGAAGTAATTCCCAGATCTTTAGAGCAATCGATGGACCGACCAAGATTTCTTACTACTAACTGCCAGAACTCGTTCATCTCATGAAATTCACTCGTCAAAACTAATAGTCATAGAACAGTTACGACATCTCTACGTGAATGCCAACAGAGTGGTGGCCATGCGCGGTTGAGGAGTCTTTGGTCTTGTACTGAGTTCTAAGTTCATCGAGTGTGTCAGAAACCTGTGTGAAAGCGTCAATAGACTATTCCCATCACATTCACTCACCATCTTAAGCTGTCACCAAGGTTCTGAAGCATTGTATTACTGATTTACTAGAAGGTAGTTGAGAAAACGGCGGAGAGTTTATTTGTTGTCTTAGCTACTGTTGAGGAAAACCATGTGGGTTAACATATATTAAATATGGTCATGATCCATCAAGTGGGTCCAGAAACATTACTCTCCTTTTCACAAATAAGCCATCTATACCTATGTCACAATTTCGTTTAAATACAGCAAATATTGAATGCTAACTTTAAAGGGCCACGCTCAACCAGTGTGCTTTGCGCGCCAACGTTATTGTTATTATCCGGGAACTCAATCATTTTTCTCACACGCCGAACGGAAACGGCAAAGAACACCACAACGGCAGTAGCTTTTGCCAATATTTTCATGACAAAAATATAAGTAGCGTATTATCGTTCAAAGCAAAAACTTGATTCTGTACATGTACCACGATACAACCACTCTTCACGGCTGTAATATCAGACTCAGAAATATTCCTACCCATAAAAGTGTACGAAAACGAGAGGTTTAACAGGGAATCGACCATTCACGTTCAAACGCATTACAAAGAGACCAAGACCTTCAAATACTTTAATTTTTATTCGTGTCCGATTTATCAGGCGTGAAGAAAGGATTCGTCAAAGGAGAAGCGCTACGCCTTCTAAGAACAAATTCGTCACGCTCAATAAAACTCACAATGTTTCAAAACATGTATAAATAATATGGAATTTCGAGATGAAATTTAAGAGAAATGTATCTCTCAATTTGTCTCACCGCGAGTGAAAGATTACTCAAAAACCTTAAATGAGATTAGGCGTGAGATCGATTGTAAACATTCCCCCTGTCCGTCGGTCACCCAAGAGGCTGAGGGGAGCTTTCTATTTGACTTTCCACCGAAATGCTGTGTAGTAGGGCTTCTGCAAACTCTATGCTCATTTTCTTGCTAAATCTCAAAGCTGTATTTCGCTCGTTGCATGCTATTGAATTGATCTAATCAGCCATGTAATACGGCGACTGTTCGTCATGCAGGACGATCTTTTATCGATGGCTTCATTATAGCGAACGCGGAATGAAACGTCAAAAATACGCAGTAAAAAGGCGCTAGACACATGAAGAAACCAGATGAGCGTTTGAAGAGCCGGTTCTCGATTAAGATTGCAAAGATTTAGTCGATTTTTACATAAAGAGTAGGTTTTTCTTTTCTTTAATACAGATAATACTGAGAAAGGCCACCACTCCCGCAATGCATCCTGGTTGAGCGTGACCCTTTAATCGAAAAAGTTTGTTAATTTTGCTTTCTATATTAGGTTTCTGCTCTTTGACCCAGACCGAGGACAGTCCCTGGTGGCGACTGGACCTGGGATATAACACGACAATAAAAGAGCTATATATTGCTGGACCCCAAAATGGCACCGAGCTGAAAAATTTTGAGATAAGCATAGGAGATAGCTTGGACGACAATGGAAACATTAACAGGAAGTGTGGCGATAAACACAGTGTACGACCTGGCGAAATCAAGACCATAAGCTGTGATCTAACTGGACAGTATATCAACATTCAGGTCCCTGAGAGCGGGAAAGCGTTATCCATTTGTGAAGTGATTCCTTATGGAATGGGTACGTCGAATTATTAAAGCTGGAAATGTGGCTTGACGAAAGATAGGCAGTAGACCTAACTGTATGTCGGGAACGTTCTGATTTCCCCCACCCCTGAGTAGGCTGGTCAGTCTTAAGGGCGTTAGAAGGGGGTTCATCAGAAAAATGGAGAAGGAGAGAGGAGGCACATTAAAAACTCATTAAAAGCAAAAGTGTTTAAGTTGTACCTAGGTATGCATTTCTTTGAATGTCAGGTAAAATGGGATGATGGGGGCATTGGGGAATGTGGCGTTCATAATATGTAGGATCTAAAGAAAAGAGTTCCGTATAATCCAATAGGTATATAGATAAAACAGGAAAATAAATGGGTTCATTAAACACTTTCCGATTGAGTTTATTCGAACCAAAACCAAAGTAATCACGATTGACAACTAGAAGAAAGGTAAATAACGAGGCAAAGAACAGGTCAAGTTTATTTAACTATTAAATTCTTTTTTCCAATAAAATGCTTTTAAAAATGACAGTTTTAAACTTGAATAAAGGCTGAATGAACTTTGTTTTGCAGACCCTTCACTGGCGGACTTCAATCCGTATGTCGTCCTGAACTATGTCAATTATGTTCGTAGGCAAGAGCAATTAAAACAACTTCGAGAGCGACAGGAACGACTGAGAAACGCCACGTTGGAAGCTCAAAAGCAAGGCAAACAGCTTGTTAGTCAGGGTCAACAGGTAAACTGACTTCAGATAAACCCTAACGTGGCTTATTCCGCTGAAAGCGTGCATATCATGGGATATTCATTAATTGCTCAGAGTACTGTTTCTTCACTCTAGAAGAGAGGCCAATCCATCGCGAGGTTAATCCACAGTGTATCATCACAGCTCTAGGAGACTTAACGAAAAATAACTTGCACCTATTGCAAAAAGAAATGCAATGGTGAAACAGGAAGACGACCTGAGGTGATAGATTCCGAGAACACCTCCACGACGTAGAAAGGAATGAGAACGACGCATCCAAACCAGTTGTGAGACACTTTAATCTCCTTAATCATTCCAAGCAGTACATGGAAGTCTGCGGCCTTTCCCTAAATCTAGGCAGTTCGGAAAGCTGCAAAACTTTACAACAAAAGTTTAGCTTTCAAATCGGCGCTCTTAATCTAATGGGTATTAACGAACGCTTTTCATTCTACTGATTTATTCGTGGTTTTTCTCGTTATTCGTGATTTATTCGTGGTTTTTCTCGTTACCATGTTCCTAACAATAGCGTAGCTCCACTTTCTGCATACAAACGCACGCACAACCCACAATTCCTCCATTCGCTCTGACGAGTGGCTAACGCTCCAAATGTCAGCTTTTTAACTCTTAACGGTGGCCAATTTGGAGTTTCAACTCAGTTGATATAACCAAATTACTTTGTTACCTCCACCGACGCAGCACCACAGTCTATTGAAATTGTGTAATGACCTCAATTGGAGTTTATCGCAGACCCTCAACGACAGAGTCCACTGAGTGCGCTCGTCACCAATCTCTGCACATTTCCACATGCAAATAATATTCGTTGTTATGTCGTCTATAATTTTTAAATACGTCTTTTCCCTTTTTGTTACAAGGTCTAAACAGTAAAAAAAATTATATGAATAAAGTGGAATCGGTAATGGTTCGAATTGCTTGTACTTTATCTGATAAAGGCCTGCAACACATTTAAAAAGTAGCGCTCTTTCTGTTGATATCCGTGGGTTAACTCTATGTAACTGAAAGTGAATTTTGAACAAACATTCCCAAAAATCCCAATGTTAGTTACAGTAGTGGTAGGGCAAAGATTGAGCAGCTTTGGTTTCGACATTTCATTAGTATTTAATAGTAAATATCGTCGATGTAAACGAAATGAGTAGTGCTTAATTTTGGTCAATGTGGAACGCGTTCCTCCACTTTTCATAAGATATCAAAGGGATTAAGTAACGAGAAAATCGTCCGAATTAGCCTCAACTTGTCATTTGCACAACTTAACTGTTTCCTCCCACCATTTATGTATCTCCCGGTGGAAAAAAAACATGATATGGCTCTTTCATTGGTATTTCATTGAGGTTACACAGCCTTTTGAGATTGTTTCTTGGTGTGTTCTGAAGAATGTGGAAGCTTAGTTCAATTAATGCATCAGGACAGTTCACCTCATTTCAGGCAAACGATATTGTTCTTTAGTTCCAACCCCTTCTTATGGAATGTAAATTTAAAGCATTTGCGATGGAACCAAATTGATCAGCATATTAAACACTGCCAAAGACGGTCCGCTCTCGCCCAGATAGAAAAAGTCTCGATAAAAGATGAATGCTTATTTATGTTCTTTTTTTTCTAAAGGCCATAAGTGGAGTCCAGCAACAAGGTCAGCAGGCCATTAGTCAAGGTCAACAATTGGCTGGTCAAGGACAAGCTGCTGCGAGCGGAGCCGTCGGCCAAGGTCAAGCAGCTCTTGGCGGCATTCAAAGTGAGTGTTCAATACCTGTCATATTTTCATTAGTGAGTGTTCAATACCATCCTGTCATATTTCATTAGGTATTAAAGGAATTTCACTCAAGCTTCGAGGCCTCTCTTTCAGATCAAGGCCAACAGGCTTGGGGTCAGGCACAAGGGTTGATGGGCGGTCCTCAGGGTCAAGGACAGCAGCTTCTAAATCAATTCCAAGGCCAAGGAGCAGGCATGGCAAGTCAGTTCCAAAATCAGTTTGGCCAACTTCAAGGTCAAGGTGCGGGAATGCTGAATCAGTTGCAAGGCCAGGGTATGGGTGTGTCTAACCAGTTTCAAGGACAAGGAATGCAACTGGCTAATCAACTTCAAGGTCAGGGTATGGGTATGGTTAATCAGTTCCAAGGACAGGGACAGCAATTAGCCAATCAACTGCAAGGTCAAGGAATGGGAATGGTAAACCAATTTCAAGGGCAAGGAATGCAATTAGCCAATCAATTGCAAGGTCAGGGTATGGGAGTAGTAAATCAGTTCCAAGGGCAAGGGCAACAATTAGCCAATCAACTGCAAGGCCAAGGTATGGGAATGGTCAACCAATTTCAAGGACAAGGAAGGCAATTAGCCAATCAACTGCAAGGCCAAGGTATGGGCATGGTAAATCAGCTTCAAGGACAAGGAATGCAAGTGGCCAATCAACTGCAAGGCCAAGGAGCAGCTATGCTTGGTCAAGCACAAAGTCAGCTTGGTCAGCTGCAAGGTCAGGGAATGGGAATGGTAAACCAGCTTCAAGGACAGGGGTCGCAATTAGCCAGTCAACTGCAAGGACAGGGAATGGGACTAGCTAATCAAATCCAAGGACAAGGGATGGGGGTCGTGAATCAGCTACAGGGCCAAGGTAATGAACAAAATACTGGTATCAGCAGAATTTTTAAATAGCAGTTCCTCTTTACGTAAAATTTTTCTCAAAATGATAATGGTTTTATCTTTTTCACATAGGGATGGGTGCGGTCAATCAACTCCAAAGCCAAGGACTTGGAATGGCAAAAGGGCTGACTAGCACTAAGGATGATTTGATTGACAGGGTAAGAGTGGCAAGATGGAAAAGGAAGTAAATAGGCGTGAACATGCAACGATAAAAGAAGACGAAAATACAACTAAACTACAATAAGAAGAAGCCCTAAAAGTAATTGTACCTCGTATCCCCAATTGTACATAAATACATAGTTTTTTAAGTTTAAGTGTTGTTTTCAACAGCTTTTCTACAAGTATCCTCATATTGGACTAAAAATAAAACACAGTCTTATTTCAAAATATAATGAACCGAATTTCCTTTCTCGTTTTCCAGGCAAAAGACTTCTATAAAAAGGTAAGTTTTTTATCTTAGACTGTTCCATCCTTTGAATTTTCCTGACTTACAGAATTGAATCTCTTAAGTACAATATATTTAGTGATAGATTGTGTTTTTGTAGTTAAAACCATGGCAAAAAAGAGCAGAAGACTTCTACGATGAAAAAATCAAGGGACATTACTTCGAACTAGGAATGAGTATGTCGGTGTATTGTGTACCCGTAGATTTGTATGTTTGTAACGAGCAATTATGGCTCTTTATTTTCTTCTTTGTCACAATTCCTATCTTCAGGCCTTGTCTCGTGTTTTCCCTTAAACAAACACGCTTGTTTTCTTCTTGTCTTTTCCATGATCTAATCCTTTCAAACGGAACCAAAAGAGCATTGACTGGAAATTTAGTAAAATGTTATAGGGATAACGTAACATTTGTTTTCACTGACTTTTAGAGTGGTTTAATCGCGGAAAAGACTACGGTATGAAAGCTCTTGATGTTTTCAAAGAAAGTGTGTTGTCTGAGTTCACTGGGCTGGCAAGTGATGTTGGCGGAGAACTGTCAGCAATTGGAAACTATGACACTGGAGACGTGAAGGGACTTCTGGACAATGTTGATAAGGATAAGATAAAGGAACTAGTAGAGAGAATTAAACCTCTCATTCCTGAGTATTACGAAAAAGCCAGAAAAGTAGCCATGGATATTTTCAACGAGGGAAAAGCTCAGTTCGAAAAGATAAAAGAAGAGGTTGAAAAAGAGGTAAGAAGAGTTTGCCAGTATTAGTCTCATCACATCTTTTTTAATATGCTGTTGTCACAGCGCACGGAGTCAAAAGTACATTTATAACGCGATGAATTATTGTTATTAACATCATTCTATACAAGGGACACAGAATATTCAATTGGGGGGTAGGAGAAGATGAGATATTTCTATCGACATCGTAATAAGTATCGGCATCCCAGCCCATACATGGCACGGGAAATGCAAAAGGCGACTAAGATGAAAAAGAGAGATTAGTGTTCCCTTCTATCCCTGGAGCAACTTAGGAACTTTATAAACGTCCTATCATCTCTAGCGATTAATAGATAAGTAAATGAGTGAAAAGAAAAAAAATTTTTTTTTTTTCGTGCTAAAAGTGGGATACCTCTTACAGGCCGATAATGCTGTGAAAATGGGCGAAGGTCTGTCATCAGAGGCAACAGGCTTAGCGGAGGAAGCTAAAGAGCAGGGTATGAGTGCTGTTGGAGAAGCACAGAAAGCAGGGGAGTCAGCCCTGGAGCAAGCTAAAAAGACAGGGGAAGGGCTCGCGCAGCAAGGACAGCAAACTCTCGGTAAGTGGGTTTGTTAAGATATTTTTAATTCTCTATGGTTTATGGTTCTTTTGGTACGAGTGTTACACCTGTCAAACGTCTTTGAAACAGTGTAAATTATCAAATGAGCTGGGCATTTTAAGACTTGTAGGGAAATGTGCATGCGCTCTGAGTCAAATCCTACACCTCGTCATTTGCGAATTTCGCAGAATAAATGTCACTGTTGCATCATACGTCAGCAAATACATAATGAACGTTGTCTATTTTTCATTGATTTTCAAACATGAAATCCCTTTTCTGATAGGCCAGGTACGACAACAAGGAATGGGAATAATGAACCAAGCTCGTCAAACCGGTATGGGTGCTTTTAATCAAGTGAGGCAGCAAGGAATGGGAGCTTTAGGACAAGTGCAGAGTTTTGGACAGCAAGGATTGCAACAGGTTTGATCAAGTTTGTTTGCCTTAGATTATTAAGATCAGCGCTAAACTGTACGAAGGGAGGATTTAAACTATAAATTTTAATCGGAAATTTACTCATAACTGTCAAGAACAAGCCTCAATAATAAAACTTGAAAAATGTTTTAGAGAAAGCGGAACTAAACTTCCTCGTGCAAAAGACTGGACAAAGATGGTGTATCAAAAAAATTCTGGTGTACATAATATGATTGTTTTCGATTCCTCAGGCGCAGGGTCTCCAAGGTCAGCTAATGCAAACTGGTCAAGGACTTTATGGGCAAGCTCAAAGTATGGGCCAAGGTCTACAGGGTCAACTCATGCAGACTGGTCAGGGCTTGTATGGTCAAGCTCAGGGAATGGCAAGTGGCTTACAGAATCAAATGATGCAAACTGGACAGGGATTGTACGGCCAAGCACAGAGCATGGGCCAAGGTGCCTTACAACAAGGAATGAACGTTGGGAATCAGCTTCGGCAGCAGGGACAAGGAGCTTTCCAGCAAGGACTAGGAATGGCCCAAGGTCTCCAAGGTATCAAACAAACAAAATGGGTATCCTAATATAATATAAGGCTGTAGTAATTTCGAGAAGAATACAAAAATCTAAACCTGCTTAAGGTGGCTGAACACAGTTTTTGATACCTGTGTTTCTTTCACCATTTTCTCATACACCCTTGATATCTCGGTCGCCAAAACTGGTAGCAAGCAAGATAACAACACAAACTTTGTTTTTTTGATAGTTAAGCTGACGTATGTGCCGTTGCCATGGCGACACAAATAAATATAAACAGGCCTTTAAAATCAGTTTTGTTTATTTGTAGAAAATCTAGTCATTAGATTTCCTTTATAATTTGCATGCAACGAGCTTGTAACGATACTCACAAGTTAACACCATTTTGCTAACAATTTAACAAAGAGATCTTTAACTATCCCTAGTTGAAGGTTCACTCGATTATCTAGAATTTCCTTTGTTAAAAATCAATTTTTTTAATACTCCAATTACCTATTTCCTATAGTATTTTCGTGTCAAATTTCGTGGAATTCTAATGAGTGGTTCTCAAGAGATAGGCATATCTCCTAGAGAGCAATTTTCCTTTCAATCACAATTTCTTGATTTACTACGCATGCGCTGCATTTAACTAGGTTCTTTCGGTAACGACGAAAAAGCTGAGAATTGCTGGGTTCTTTGCACCGGTAACTTTTCTTAGATGTCGTTGTAATGAAAGATTAAAGCCCTCAATACTCTGCGCCAACTGTAGAGAAAAATAGCACAGATAGTGCGGACACGTGTTGAGTACATAAAATGACCGCTGTATTGACGGCATGTTTGTCTTTTGCAATCCTTGTGCGCGCGCGCAAACGTGTTCAGCCACCTTAAGGGTATGAAGGATCACAGTAGCTCTAGGTCATTAATTGGGAAACACATTCAGTACCACAGAGGATTGAAGAGACCATCATTACGCAAAAACGTCTGGGTGTTTTGAAAATACCATGGTAAATTCGAAACTCTTATGCTCGAATTGTTACTCATAATTGAAATTTACTCCTAACCTTAATGCTTAATGCACGCAGTAATTCATTCTGCACGAAAAGTTTGTTTAAATGAGCCCTCTACAAACAAGGATGCTGAAGTTTTTTTTTACACTCACAACCTACCCTTTCAAACTAGTTGTGATGTACTTTATTTCCATTCCAGGGCAAGCAATGAATATGGGTCAAGGATTCCAGCAACAAGGAATGCAACTCATGAATCAGGGACAACAGCTGTCGCAGCAAATGGCCGGTAAGTGAATTAATTACCAAAAATGTTGATACAATGAATCATACTTTTTTTTTCAGTGTTTAACTCAGTGAGAGGATATCAAGACTTCAGTTTTTGGCTTCTAGGCGTTTGATTTACACATGTATTTATGAACTACAACCTGTAGTTCGGAAAAAAAATTTTGAGCAAGAGTTGGAATTGAATGGGGTGTATGTCAAAAGGAGAAATGTTGGCCTCAATTCATGAACCCTCTCTTTCCCAACAATACATGCTAAAAGTGTCATTTTCGTCAAATGTTTGAAGAAACAACCATCAGACCCTTGAAAAAAAACTCTTAAAAGCATTTTTTCCAGAACTATTTTCTAGTGCCACTATTGAGCTCTATTGAAAGACTGTTGCGGACCTTCTTAAGGTTTGTAGGTTTCTCATAATTTGTCATAGTTTATACATTGAAGGAACTCTGCAGCACCTTCCACGATCTTCCTGTGAATAAATAAAGAGTAACAAATGAACAAATATTACGTGGGCAAAATCAATGCAATGTCGGTTTGCTTTCAATATTCGTATACTCAGTCCGTTTGATTACTAGGAATGGGATCAAACTATAGCTTGAAGTCAGCACACCGGTTTGTACTGACTCAGAAGAATCACGCTGGGAAAGATGAACGGCTGTTTGTTTGTTTGTTTGTTTTTTTTTTTTGACAAATAAAGCTCATGAACCATCGTTTCCCATAAAAGATTTCACCGGATCTTCTTTCAAAGATCCTTACTATTGATCTTTCAGATGAATTCAGGGTCATAAGTTTATCAGCCCGTGGTAATTACATGCTACCCTGTCTAAACTGTCTTTATAATTATCACTATTATTTTCATTATAGTAATTATCGTTGAATTCATAATCCAAATTTCCGAGGAAAATCAGCACTGAACCGTCTGCTGATCTGTCAGGAAGGCAGGGATTGCTCTTTTCAGGGTAAATGCGTTTTCAATGTTTTGCTATCGTTTAGTAATTTGGTTGATTTTTACAGGCATGGGATCCAATTATTATGGACAAGCTTTGGGTATGGGTCAGGGACTTTATGGACAGGGTATGAATTTGGGCCAGGGATTTCAGCAGCAAGGGCAGCAACTCATGAACCAGGGAAAACAAATGGCAGGCCAGCCACCAAGCCCCTCTCAGCAGTGGCAGCACCTTATGAAACAGGGCCAGCAGTTACAGAGTCAGGAAGATGCCCTTAAAAGACAAGGCCAACAGGCGGCTGGGGGAGGTTCGAAATAGAAAGTAACTCTAAGGCCAAACTTCTGTGTAGAAGACAGTTATCCTCAGGAGAGGAACGAATTTAATTTACCCAATGAGTCAGTAGAACATGTGTTTCGCAGTCTTGTTAATCCGTTGGCTGTATGAATAGAAAGTTTAGTTCTTAAGGACAGTAGAGGATGTGAATCTGAGTCGAAGTCAGAAAAGTTGCGTAGAAACTGTAGAGTTATTTCACATTTTTTGCTCAGAAGAATCACGCCAGATGCTCCACCGATGTTTTCGTTAACATCGAAATATGCTCTTACAATAATGACCCTTACTCAACGACAGAAAGCACGATTTCTTTAATTTATAGACATGGCAAGTTTAGGGGTAACATGGACGTCACCCTCAGAGTAACGACTATGTTTAGCTGCTGTAACTAAGAAGTCAGAAAAGAAATGACTGTTATTACTACAACTGCAAACCTCCCTAAGACAATATCACCTATTTCCTTAAGCTCAGCAGCGTATGAAAGAAGTACTTCGAGTCAATGACACGTCGATGTTACTACTTTCAGGTGGCATAGATTAAAGTATAAATGTTTCACTTTTGCATGTACACGAACAAAATTGTTATCTTAATAGTTAATATTTGGTGTTCATTGAAAGAGTTGCATGCAAAATATCAGATTTTCCCTTGATTTGAGAAAACTTCATCACTTTTTCGTTGCATAATATTGCAATCGAAAATATTGCATTGCAAAAGTCCCACCGGGAAGCTTCTGATTATAAAGAATCGTTGTTATTCATGGAGGAGACACCCTTTTCTTTCTTGCCTTTTAGCGTCCTGCGGGATAACTTTCGTAATCAGTACATCGCGAGCTCATTTGTTGGCAACAGTTTGCTTGTATTGCTTTGGTAACCACTTCTCTCTAAAATGCCTTTTGAAAATTAATTTTCTTTTTGGCGATACTGTATACCGCTTGGGAGATTTCCCAGCAGCTGTTCAGTTTAATCGTTTCCCATGTCAATGTTCAAAATTTGCCCTCTTAGTCTTGTCTCTGATAGGGCCAGCTTACAGAATTGCAACAGTCTATGTCACAATTGATAGGTAGAAAGTCTCGAGGATATGGAACAATTAAAAATATGAAATGTGAAAAACGTTCGCAATTTTAAACGAAATCGACTCAAAACGTTCCTCGAGTAGTTGCTTTCAAGTTCATAATTTGCATCATCGAGAACGGGCTTCATGCACGCTCTTAGCAGTTTTTTTTTTCGTCTTCGACGAAATTTAAAGGGGACAATTTATACAACAAAATTATAGTGTTAATTCCCATGGCCTTATCAATATCTTTCTTATTCAGATGGAGAAAATAACTCTGCGGTTCTTACTTTACTTCCTTGATTTAACTTTGAAAGGCGGATTATTCCGTAACAGAATAAGTGCCTTAGGGCATGTGTTATATAGAATGCAGATATTTTGTATTAGAATTCACCCTCTGATCTTGATGAAACCCTTTTCACTATTACAGCTTGCACTAGGTTCCAATTTGCAGGAAAAATGTTTGGGAAGGCCAGCCAGCAGGAAAACATGTTTGAGAAACTATTTAGCACTCTTCCCAGCTTACCTAAAGAAAAAATCTAATTATTTGGTCTGAAACTTGACAATTGCTACCTTCTTTTCTTTTATTTTTCTTGTAAAAACCCTCATAACATGCTCAAGATAATCAAGTTTAAATTCACCGATGTTGAAGTATGAATAAATAGCCATGCTCCAGAAAGAAATGTAGTAAAATGTTCTAAAACTATGATACATATATAAATTTTTTCAGATTCTTGCTGTATGTGGATTTTTTGCTGCGTGTTATTTTTGTCAGGGAGCAACATTTGACTCTGTCTTCATGGTCACCCAACAATGGAGATTAGAAATATATTCTATTAATGTGTAATATAAATGCCTATGTGTGTTCTAAACAAAGAAAAGGATGTAGCATCCATTCCCAGATGAAAACAAGATGAGATATCCATTCCTTGCTCAGAACCTGTCAACTTGCTGTATTCTCAATTATTTTCTGTTAAAAAAGAAAGAAAGTAAAGAGTGGTAGAATTTAGTACCAATCCCGTTAGAAATCTGTAATAGCTTTGAACCAAAATGTAGAATTCACAACCTCAATTTAGAAGGTAGGTTATTTTGAGAGTAATTCGAAGAAACCAGATGGCAAATGTTAATTAATTAAATAATGAATCAGACCTACGACAAAATCCTTCAACACGGTTGGTTATCACCAGCCCTATTTGAGCACCAATAGGACAGTGTACACGTCATTCTTGTAATGGACAGTCTAATGGGACAGATGACACGTCCTGCCTGTGTAAGCGGACAGTATGAATCATACGCGCGCGCTGTTTCCGCGTATTTCGCTAGCTTTGCTGTTGTTTTAATGCAAACGTGTGACAATATCTAGTTTACTTCCCAAATTTTTTTTATAGCCTTGATTAATTGATAAAAGGACTTTTTGTCGTCCAGTTCTGCCTGTAATCATACTCGTGATGAACAAATCGTACTCCCGCTTCGCGATGTCCGATTTAGTAAATCACTCGTATGATTACAGATCGAATTGGACTCCACTCAGTCCTTTTACCATTATTTATTGGAAATTACTAAACAATGAGTTATTAGGAACGTTTTGTCAATAATTCCAGGTGACCTACAATATGATTAACGCTTTTCTCGATGTGAAGACAGCTAAAGATCGAGATATGAACCCACTTTGACTACAAAACTGTTTTAGTTCTTCTTTGAATGTCATGACATAAATCTCGTTAACGATGTTAGATCTGATTTCTTGTACACTTTTAGAAGTACAAGATATTGTGACAGAAATTCTTTAAAATATTGAAATTTCTTTGCAGCTATAAATTTCTTAGAAATCAAGATATACTGACATTAATCATGTACTGAAAGGAGAACCCTTAACATTAGCCGATAGAAGAGCTGAAGACATGTTAGTGGGTTGTTGTACTGTTTTGTCAGTTCACTGTCTTTTGTAATGTGTCCTCATCGTTAGTGTTGAGTGTTAACCTTTTGTTTGAAAACCAGATCAAAACGAAAGGAAGATACCAATTATTCTGAAAGAGAGACTCACAGCCACCATTTTTTTCTTTGACTGGACTGACAGTTGACAACATTCCACCCAATGGTCTTCCACTCCTGCTTGCAAATTACCTTACCATTTACGTTTCCGAACCACAAGTCTCTTCTTTGGTTTTCTCTTATGGAGAATTTTACTCCGTCGCATGTATCCTTTATCCTCCGCACTGTTTGGGGTTGAATCTTTACCTTTTTCTGTGCAGCATTCACGTGAACATACCCTAGTGCAATGCCGTGAACAAATGTCCGGACACTTTTTTGAGGAAGATAACAATGGTGATAGAGAGATGGGAGGAGGCTGGGGTGCACTTGTTGATTCTCTTTGATCCGGTGATTGATGAAAACGATCTTGTGGGGTGGACCCTGGTGTGGCGGGTGTCAGCGACTTTGCAACATTTGTGTGTAGCTCACGAGAACTTGCTAAGCGTCTAAGGTTATCTAACACTGATTTTTGGCAGCAATGTATGGGGCAGGTGCTGACACATTTTGACTTGCATATTGCTGGGCAGGCAGTTGGCCATGGTTGTTGCTGAGGCTGAAGATAAGATGGAGATGGTGGCGGAACGTAGTATGGTTGTGGATGGGGTGCAAGTGGTGGAATATAGACTCGAGTGGCTGGTAAAGGGGTGATTCTTGTACAGCATGCCACAGGACAGGAGCCCATACATACAGTGTTACAAAGTGTTGGACAAGGAGCCGGTGGTCCTAAAGCGACTGGGTATGTCGGGGGTGGTGCTGGTAGTACATAAGGTTGTGGTGGTGGAGGATAAGGAGAAGAAATGAAAATTGGAGGAGGCGGTGGTGGTGGAGGTACAGGGGGTGGGGGTGGAGGCGAAGGAGGAGGAGCAGGTGCAGGAGCAGGGGCAGGAGCAGGGGCAGGAGCAGGTGGAGGATTTTGAATTATCGGTAAAGGAAACAGGCAGCACTCATCTGGGCAGGTTGGTTTGCAGGAATGCGCACAATACGACGGACAGGAGCTCGTGGAGGAACAACAATGGGCTGGACAAGAGTCGTCACACTTCGATTGACAATTTCCTGGACAGGGTACATTGACGTGAAAGTGAAAACTTTCCGTTGGCTTTGGCTCGGAAACTGTGGATAAATAGCGTGCACGCAGTTTTAACTGACATGCAATTGGAGAGCAAGCAAGCAGAAAACGAAGTAGTGAATTTGTCTAAATCTGAGGATATTAAATTGCGGCGAGAACTTACTCAAAGGAGTTGAGAAATTCAAATCACTGTTCTCAGAAAGATATACTACAGACGTTGTGAAGCGATTTATTAAAATAGATGGTGTTTCCTTTTCAACCTTTAACACACTAGTACCTTTGGTAAGAATTGCCCAGATACAATCCAGTGCAACCACAAAATATTCCAACAGCGTATCTTCTCACAGTCTTGTGCAAGTGAAACAGTTCCGTCTGGAGTGTATAGTGAGTGTCATAAGGTGAGCAATGGAAGACTAAAGACTAGATCCTGACAAAATCTCACCACGATAGCCTCTAGCGGCTACGATTAGGAGACAGTCAAATTTGTCTTAGCAAAACACTTACCGAGGGAAACCCCGGAAAGATCACTTAAAAGTTGACAGTGGACACCTTACCTTTTACTTTACAGTAACCCCATTTGCCGTCTTTGTCGTAGTTGTATGTCGTGCCGCACCATGGTTTAGCTTGGTCTCCTCGAATGCAGTGATGATAAATCATATTGTTATATACGAAAGGGAACTGACAACAGGCTCCATTTCCGTTCCCGCCGTATGTGTGATGGCAACCTGAAGACAGTTTTGGAGAGTTCTCAAATCACTGTCGTATTTGGTTCACAAATTAACTGTCAAGGATTTGTGTAACGATCGCGTAAGCCGAGCAAATTTTGTTAATTCACGATTGAGTTCACTTAACCCAGTCGTGCTATGATCCGAGTGTTTTATGAATAAGCCGCAATCGGATTAGCGAGAGAGGAAGCACCACCTTTCTTAATTGGGTGTCTATCTTCATTAACTGTGTGAGACAAAGATTAATCCCAAAGAGTAGCTAGTAGGTTTTATTCTTCCTACTATTTTTTAATATTAGTGGTAAACTCACTTTGACAGTGACCCCATTTATGGTCGGCGTCGTAGTCTCGCGTTGTAGCACACCACAATCTACTGCTGTCCATGTCTGTACAGCTGTTGTACTGCTCTCCATCATACGAGAATGGGAACATACAACACGCTCCCTCAGAATTTCCACCATGTGTTGGGGCACATCCCAGTACTGTGAAACACCAACCAGAGAATTTTGTTAATTGGTTTACAAAAATAGTTTTAGGTAAGTCAAAATTTAAAGTAAAAACCAAATATCGTCAGTTTTAAGAACTATTAAATCAGGGTTAATTAATAAGAAAAACAGCTTCTCTATCTTGTTTTATATATTAAAAACCAGCTGCGCAAATCGCAAACCTTATCCGTGTAGATCTGCATTGTTCATGGTTCGTTTACTGAACAATACTCAACTCAGCACTCTGTATTCACAAATGAAGATAGGTCAAGGGAACAACTGAATAATGTGAATTTTCTTAATCAAGATTGAATCCACTTTTTCCTTTCGCTTTAAAAGCTAGTTTAATAAAACCTTCTGGTGTCATAGATCCCCTCGTATACATAAGGCCCATCCCCCAGTAGTAACCGTTGCACAACAGGTTGTATTCACGATTTACTTTGAGTAACAGAAGACTCAATTAAAGCTCAGAAGTTAATTTTGTCAGAAAATTTTGCCGTAAAGACAATCTTGGGAGAGTGAGGGGAAATTTTCTCTTACTAAAAAAAAAAAAAACAAAAAACAAAAAAACAAAAAAACACATCAAACATTTTGCAAATGCGTCTTTCAATTTGCTTTAATCATCTTTGATATACCGGAAGTGGAGTAATGTGGATGCCACGCGGAAATGATTAGCTTTCATTTTTCTGAACAGAATTGAAATGCAAAATGGTTACACCATCGTATTGAAAAATATATGTAATTATAAATTAAGAACCACCAATTATAATACTAAAACATCTGAAATAGTTGGTGGAATCACACTTAACATCTTCACGTTTTCCGATTACGATGTTTTTTAGACTGAGCACTTGACTTGTCTCTCTTTTTCAGTTTATTTTTATCTCCATTCGACGTTCTGTTAGCTTTGGGGGTATTGACGTTTGAATTTGGTGAAATGAGTGTCTTTTTCTCGAGAGTTGTAGATTCTGGCTCTGTGTCTTCATCAGAGTAATCTTGGTCCATGACCAACGGCATATCTTCATCATTATTTTCACTGCCATCGCCTATTCCGTTTCTTTCAAATAAGGAATTTCTTTGCTCCTGGCCATTAAGATCACTGCGGTCAATTTCGACTGGAATGTTGAACATCATATTGTTTGGCTCTTGATAAGCATCCACAGATTTGTCGCTAATGGAGTATCCGTTTTGAATTCCTTCAGATTGATCTTGGTCTTGGTTTTGTTGAAGTAACATCATTTGTCGACCATCATTTTGCAGCGTTCTTCCATCTTCTGTATACGTCAGCTGTGAGAGGACATTTTGTAACCGGTTAAGCAATTCAGAGCCTTTGGCCAACCCTGGGTTTGACAGTTCTTCTTCATTAACCACACCTCCAAATTCTGACTGTGTCTGTGGAGTAGCAGGCGAGGAATTTGTACCTCCTTGGTTTTGTTTAACGAGAAGCGCAATAAGTTGTCGTGCTTGCTCAAAAAGAGCTTGCTCTTTGGCTAAATCTGCAGCAAGTTGAGTCTGTTGTTCTGATAGGTTTTGATATAGCGCCTGAATCTCTGTTATTTGCTTCTTTATTCCTTCAATTTCAAAGAGAGTTTGCTGATTTAAAGTTGCCTGCGTTGTTGGTGGCGCTTGGGTTGTGTTGCCTGTGGTTATAGTGATATTTACATCGTCACCGTGTATCCTGGTAGGGGCAACCTTATTATTAGATGTAGCAGTCCTGGTCAAGGCTTTCTCTTGCTTCGTTAATAAATTTTGCAAATGTTCCTGTTGATCCTTTAGTTTATCTTGCTCCTCCTCCAAGAGCTTTAGGGCTTTTTCTTTTCCCCGGAAATGTTGGTAATTCCTCATCATTGTGTTGATGAACTTGAATCTTTCGTCTTTTATGGTTTTGTCGTCCTTTGTTTCCTTTTTAAAACCATTACCGTATTCTTTTGTCCACTTCGTAAATAAATCTTGAATTTTTCTCATCTCCTTTCGGCCAAAATGCGGATGCAGTAACTTTTTTCGTGACTTTTTGATTTGTGGATGGGGGAAGGGCTTCTGTGCTACACTGAGGGCATCGTTATTGTCAGGATGGCAAGTACATTTTTCGTGGCACGTTCCGTTGTTCTCTGCCGTGGGTCCATCGCACTCCATAAGGCAGCTGCAACTCTCTCGATTGACTTTTGTTCTACTAGAGACAGCAAATGGTATTTCTGAATGCTTAAGAGCGTTGGTGGATTTGATTTTATCGTATCTTTCAGCATTGCAGCAGGTGATGGGACACGAAGGGTGGCATGGTGAATGTGATGCGTGACAGATGGGTGAGCAGGGGTGAGTTTTACCTGAAGAAGAATTGATTTGCCTAGTCAACTTGGTTTTCGAAAGGCTCAAATTCAACTGTCTTTTGAATACAAAATAAAATAACAGTAAGCAAGGAAGGAAACTTCTTACCTTTTGCGTCTTGCCTCCAACCTCAGTGTTATGGAAACTGCTTGCTGCAGCCGCGAAATCCATCTTTATCATTTTAATTTTTGGTCCAAATTGAGAACTCTTGTTCATAACAGTGAGATGACGCATTTTTGTGGGTATAATTATTATTAAATAGACTCTCGTGCTAATCGGCATCACAACATTGCAAAGGAGTTTTCACTGTCAGTTTAGTTTGTACCGTGTTTCTTCGTTCCGTCATAAGCTTCGTGAGCTTTTTCAGAGTTTCACACATTGTATTTGATAAAATTAACGCTATATCTGCTTTAGGAATTCCCTTTCGCGGCTGAGCCAGTCAGTTAACCAGTGGACGTCAAAACGTTTTACACTGTAAGGTTTGAGTGACGCAAGAATTCCCTTTCAAGGTAACATGCCTATAACACGAGATTCTACACTCATGCTCCTTTTTTTTTTTTTTTATCTGAACCATTTCAAGCCAAAGTGTTGCACAATATTTAAGAAACAAAACTCTACACGATTAAACAGAATCCATATAAATGAAATAAGAGGCATAGGAGAAGACTGTGACGTCTATCGTGAACGATAGGGACCTCTAGAAATATAGAAAATTGCGCGGACAACGGTGAAATATCAACAAACCTTACTTAATTTGTTTACAATATAGGTAGTAAAGGTAGCTTTCAGAAAAGAAGGGTTAGAATACGAAAGAAATTATTTACCATCAGGATGATAATGAAAATGATAATGCACATCTTTTCCACCTGAAAAAACAAGAGCGAGAAGCGAAAATAAAGACCATCATAAATGGTTTTAGGACAAATTTTTGAAGTGGAAAAGCTTAACGACTCGGGTTTGGGTGAAATAAATGTCGTAACAACCTGGTCTAATTTTATATGCAATTTATACTGACATCCTTTTGGTATCGGAGTAAGTTTAAAAATTGGAACAATAAAAGATTTAAAAAAAGAATTGAAGAACTAAAGAATTAATTTATCTTTGTTGTTGTTGTTGTTGTTGTTGTTATAGTACTGCAATAAGTATATGAATTGTGAAATATGAGAAAATGATGATGATGTTTTCCTTCCTTTGCGACGGTTCGCAGCTTCGTCACCACAATCAGCAGAGTTTGCGAAGCCAAATTTACAGAAAAAGCTCAAGAGCTTTGAAGGAGATGTTCTTATTTTTTTCTAAATAAGTAGCTTAGGTAAGCATGTTTTCATGTAAGCACAGAACAGAAGCACAGGAATAGCTCCATACCAGATTAAACATTTTACATGAAAATCTTGCAAAAATGTTTTCAAAAACATCACAACACTAACCAGATGGAGTAGTAGCTGCTGGCGGCGGAGCAGCTGAAGGAGAAATTGATAAATAAATGTTTAAATTAAATAAATATTTTATCTCCTTTAATGCATCGATTTTAGCGAATTAAAATAGACAGACATTTTCACGGTACCAGCGTCACCTTGTTATTTGAAACAAGCGCGTAATATAACGATTCAGAATACTACCCGAACATATCATAATAACAAAATAACAAAAGTCGCCGTGTTCAATCCTTGCTTTTCCACGTACGTAAAACGTAATCGAAATCAGCAGAAAAATGATATGAATCAAATTCCATCTGTTACCTGTAACTGGAGGTGGCATTGGAGCTGCTGGTGGAGCCTGCGGAGGCACTGCTGCTAGTGGTGGTGGCGGTGGTGGTGGTGGCGGTGCTGGTGGTGGTGGTGGCGGTGGCGGTGGTGGCGGCGGCGGGGGCGCAGGTTCTGCTGGAGGGGTAATTGGTGGAGGTGCGACGGGAGGCTGTGGCGGAGAAGGTGGAGCCAAAGCAGGTGGTGGTGGAGGTGGGGGTGGAGGAGGTGGTGGTGGTGGCATAGGTGCAGGTGGAGGAGGGGGTGGTGGGGAAGCTGAGGGTGGTGGTGGAGGGGTTGGTACTGGTGTTACTTGGGGAGGAACTGTTGGTGGTGGAACTGGAAGAATAACATAATCATAAATGAACAACTTGTCGCACTGACTTGTCCCGCAGACAGATCTATGGATTTATGGTCCCGACTAAGCCCCCAAACAGAGAGCCGTATCGTTTGAAACCCTTCTTCACAAAAATACATGGCACCAGTTGCAGTAGCAGTTATAAACTACTAGGCCCGACTTTTTTCTGTTCAACGTTTTTCGGTGCAAAGATATTTATCAGCTATTTCTTGTTGAGGAAATATCAATAGTAATTGTACAGCTTTTTGACCTCCTAGTGTTGTGTTTTCACCTTTTAAGCCTACTTATTATTACTTTTAAACTGTTATTACGGTGTAGCTCACCTGGAATACCAGTAATCTGTACGTCTATGTATTCTGAGCAGTCCGTTCTGGGCATAACTGATATGGTTTTGTCACCATCTAAGTGAAGTATATATTGGCCATAGGGGTCCTCTCCTCTAAAAGTAACGAATTTGTGAAGATTAGGGTCTTTGAATGTTAGTCTGATTCTAAACTCTTCTCCCGTGACAAGCCAACCTTCCGGCTTCATTGCTGAAATTAACTTGATCGGATGACCAACTCCATTAATAAATCGCAACGCTATGCATTTACCTAGGGAAATACAAATTTTAAATGTAATGTTATTAGCGTTTGGTTACCAATAAAATCAGCCAACACGAAGTTGACGTTGTATAAGCGACAAAAGAAAGATAAACGAGATTTACATGCCTCCAATAGAAAGCGAATATCGATTTTCTTTTTTATTTCAGGCGTAACCTGAAGTACTTGAAAGAGAGCACTTTTATGGAGGGATGTTTTTACAGAGATCAGCTTTATCTTTCGTAGGCGGTAAGACATAAAGCGAAATGTTTCACAATAATTTATTCTAACATGTTGATCTGGAAATACCATTTCATGAAAAAAAAAATCGTTGTATATTTTAAAGTATCTATGTCATGCTGAGTTAATACCACGTCAAAAAGAAAAGCAAGATGTCATTATCTGCTCAAAGAAATAGTTGTAGCGGTGCATTGTTAATCATTAAGGAAATATTTACTTCCAGCTGGTACTGGTGGGTATTGAGGTTGTCCAGGGTAGGAAGGCACAGGTGGAGAGGGTGCCGGAGGTGGCGGTTCGCCGGGGATACTCGGAGGCTGTCCTGGTATACTTGGAGGCACCTCAGGTCCTTCTGGTTCTTGCGGGCCTATAGTTTCGCAGTTTATTTTTGGGTCGTCCATCGAAAAAGGAACTACAACGAAGGAACTATCTAAGGCAAACTCGTTAGTTTTGTTGTCATAGGCAGCCACTGTCTTCCACGAATCAGATCTAACTTTGTCTGACGCTGAAAGATACCAGCCTTGATGAATCAAACCAAAGGAAAATGTATCTTTTAGATGCTCCCGTCGACCAATGTAAAACGTTGCGTCTTTGGCTAAGAAATAAATGCAAATGTCAGTTCAAATTACCAAAAATTAAGCCCTTCTTTTCTGACTACCACTTTTTTATAATCATTGAAAGAAAACGATTTTGAGATAATATACCTTCCACCATTTGATTTCTTAGTGTCAACCATGCAAATGACAGTCCAAACCATCAAAGATTAAACTCTTCTTTTCTGACTATGACTTATTTTCATAATCATTGACAGAAAACTGTTTCGAGGTATATCGTGGGTTGTGTGTGCTTTTATTTAAAGGCAGAAAATGGAGCTACGTTATTGGTGGGAACATGGCAACGAGAAAAACACGTCTAAATT